GAACGAATGCGAAAGAAGCCCGCTGCAGGCGCCGAAAATTTTGGGTGGGTCGCCGGGTGGGTCGCGGGTGGGTCGCCGGTGCGTCGCGGTGGGTCGCGGGTGGGTCGCGGGGTGGGTCGCGGGTGGGTCGCGGGGTGGGTCGCGGGGGGTCGCGGGGGGGTCTCGCGGGTGGGTCGCCGGGTTGGTGGGTCGCGGGGTGGGTCGCGGGCGGGTCGCGGGGTGGGTCGCAGGTGGGTCGCGAGTGGGTCGCGGGTGGGTCGCGGGGTGGGTCGCGGGTCGGTCGGCGGATGGGTCGCGGGGTGGGTCGCGGATGGGTCGCGGGGTGGGTCGCGGGTGGGACGCGGGGCGGGTCGCGGGTGGGACGACGACAACAACAAACAACAATCAACAACAAACAACAAACAACAAACAACAATCACCACCAACAACAACAGCAGCAACAACAACAACAAGAATCCGCATCGCGGAATTCCACTTCAGCCACACACCCAGGGACAGTGAATGACCATTCGGCTCAGCCCCCTCACTCTGATCATGGCCCACGCCATGATATCCACCCCCCCCCCTGGCCATCACCCCCCTCTCTGCCGCCCCCGAGTCCGCACGCGACCCTCGTTCAGGACACGGGGGGGCGTCGGCATCATCACCCGGTGGCGACTCCAGGGGGGCGGCAGCGGGCCCCCAGGGCGAGGCGAGGTCGCTACAACGTCCGGGCGGCCCTGCCCCGAGAAACGGGAGGCTTCGGCATGCCATTAGGTCGGGCCTGTCCCCATACAGGCGAATTGTGGACGAAGGAAAACATTCAAAAAACTCCAAGAAAGTATTTTTCAAACGTGCCAAAAACGCCCCAACACCATTGATTGTTACTTTTTTTCATACTCCCCCTTGAGAGGGACACGCCCGACTTACGCATGGCACCGGGAGCCGACACCGGGGATCGGCAGACAGACCCAGACCCCCCAGAGAGACGAGGGCACCGACGTCAGGGTGCTCAGGGTGGAGGACGCGGCAGGCATCGGCTTTTGTCACCTGGAACTGCATGTGCGGGAGCGGCCAAGAGGGGGGTGTCCAAGAGGGGGAGTGCAAATCATGACCGGCGGTATGTGCGCGGCCCAGCGGGGGGGCCAGGGGCATAAAGAAATAAGAAGAGGCGCCACGGAATCTGGGGAAATATCATGGCCCACGCCATGATATCCAACCCCCCCTAGTCATCACCCCCTTCTTGTCCGCCCCCGAAATGTGGGGATCAGCAGCAGGACCCAGGCGAGACGAAGGTTCGGGTGACCGGGGCGGTACCGCCGAGGCTGAAGAGGAAGCGCTCGCAAGCTGACTGCTTCGGAATGGGCGCTCCGCTACACCCGCGTCTGGGTCTGGAAGCGCAGCTTCCGCCTCTGTTTCACTTTCCGATCCGTATCGCCCTGGCTTGCCCCAGGACCCTGAGGCTCCAGGTTTTGACTACAGCGCATACGTGGCTTGGACAGGAAGCGCGCTCTGCTCTGCGAGGCGACAATTCCCTGGTTTCTGCATGACGGGCGCCCCCAGGCCTTCGTCCAGCGACGGAAGCGGTTGAGCCCGTATGGGTCTGCATGCTCTGAGCACCTCTCTTTTCTCCTTCCCTCTGCTGTTCCGCGTTCCGCAGTGCCTCAATTCTCTTCCTTCGCCTGCACCTGCTTCGGCTCGCTCGCGCCCGCTAGCTTAAAACAAGTGGCGTATGTGTGTTTATGTGTGTGCGTGTGTGGTGTGCGCGTGCGCGTGCGCGTGCGTGTGTGTGCGTGTGCAAGAGAGAGAGTGTGTGTGTGTGTGTGTGTGTGTGTGTGTGTGTGTGTGTGTGTGTGTGTGTGTGTGTGTGTGTGTGTGTGTGCGTGCGCGTGCGCGTGCGCGTGCGCGTGCGCGTGCGCGTGCGCGTGCGCGTTCGCGTGCGCGTTCGTGTGCGCGTTCGTGTGCGCGTGCGCGTGCGCGTGCGCGTGCGCGTGCGCGTGCGCGTGCGGGTGCGTGCGTCCGTGCGTGTGTATGTGTGTGTGTGTGGGTGGGTGGTGTGGGTGTGTGTGTGTGTGTGTCTGTGTGTGTGTGCGTGTGTATGTGTGTGTGAGAATGTGTGTGTGTGTGTGTGTGTGCGTGGGCGCCCCGGCTTCCCAGGCTGACTCGTTGCGCAAACACGACCAAACCCACTAGGCGTCCCAGCAGGTTCGGGCTTCGCTGGAGACGCAACCAGGGGCCCCAGAGGGGGGTCCTGGCTGACGGGGCGGCGGTTGGGTCGGGCCCCGTCCGGCGGGGGACCATGGCCACGCTGTGGGATGCTGGCGCGTCCGATGGTGAAGAGCGTTTGCTTCGCTTGTCGCGACAGCGGCCCCTGCAACGCGCTGTGCCTTCCAGGCTGACTGCGTGTCGCTCTGCTTCGCGGGACAGGGAGGCTGAAGGAAACCTGGAGCGCTGGTGCTCGGGGACCAGGACGTACTCCCATGACCGTACGCGCACATTTTGAAGTCGTCGGGGCAGAGGAACCTCAGGCGCGGTCGGCAAATTGAGTTGCCAAGTGCGAGCGGAACTAATCGAACGCGCCGTGACGGAAGAGTCCAGCCACGGCGTTGCAGATTGGTGGCGGTGCTGAGAGCATGAAGCACTGGAAAACCATCGCGCAGCGGCCAAGGATCCCGCGGAACACACGACACACGACACAACACACAACACACACACACACCGAACTCTTTCGCCGAGCTCCTTGGCTCCCTGCCGACCAAAACGCGTGGTTCTGTGCACTGGGCCTCGTCGACCAGTTGTCGGGTCGTACTTCGGGCCTCTGGCCGACGTCCGCGCTGATCTGCGGGCGCTCCCATCACGCTCTGGGCGAGGTGCAGCCGCTGGAGCACATCCCGAAGCTGGAAAACCGCCGAGAGCCGACGAGAAGAAGTTTGCCTGATGATTGACCAAATCGCTCGATGAGAGACAACCGCCTTTGCAACACGGAATAAAATATTATCGAAACGATGTAACAAAGTACAAGCAAGTGAATGGAATATGGAGAATGTGACAGCGAATACAACTTGTCGAAACACTGTAAGAATGGCACAAGCATCTTTGAATTATGTGCCCACCCTCACGGGCCGAGTGCACCCATTATGGTGGGGTGTATCTGGCCCGGGGACGCGCCTGCCTTAAGGGCTGCAGGCACCCGTGGTCCGTTCCGTCTCCAGCGTGACGCGGGGCAGGCCGACGTTGACACGAACGACACCTTTATTTCCGACGTAGGGAAAACACCAGGTGTAAAGCGCTCTGTGAGCTTCCTCTTGACACTGTGTCTGGCTTCAAGCACGGTAGCTGTATTTGCCAGAAGATGTCGAGCCAGGCTACTAAACCTTGACTATCTGGCCTTCACAGAAGGGAGGAAGCGACTGCCCCCTCTTTCGCGACATCGTCGGCACCTGGCGGCTTGGCCGCAAGTGCCCCCTTTTTCCTTGAATATCCGACCCCCCGCCCCCGTGACCAGAACACTGACTGGAGCACAGGACGGCGGAGCCGACTTCCTATCCCGGTTCTCGGGCACCACAATCAAAGCGCACGTGCGAAGCCCCCTCTTTGGTAAAGCGACCACTGCAACTACTCTGGCTGATGGGAAAAATGCTGCACCGCCGAAGACGAGTTCGGCTGATAACCAGAAGTTTGCCTGATGATTGACCAAATCGCTTGATGAGAGACAACCGCTTTTGCAACAATGAATACAATATTATCGAAACAATGCAACAAAGTACAAGCAATTGAATGGAATATGGAGAATGTGACAGCGAATACAACTTGTCGAAACCCTGTAACAAGGGCGCAAGCATCTTTGAATTATGTGCTCACCCCCACGGGCCGAGTGCACCCATTATGGTGGGGTGTCTCTTGCCCGGGGACGCGCCTGCCTTAAGGGCTGCAGGCACCCGTGGTCCGTTCCGTCTCCAGCGTGACGCGGGGCAGGCCGACGTTGACACGAACGACACCTTTATTTCCGACGTAGGGAAAACACCACCCGCAAAGCGCTCTGTGAGTTTCCTCTTGACACGGTGTCAGGCTTCAAGCACGGTAGCTGTATTTGCCAGAAGATGTCGAACCTGGCTACTAAACCCTTTTATCTGGCCTTCACAGAAGGGAACAAACGACTCGAGAACGTCCTCCGCCTCCTCCGCCTCCTCCATTCCTTCTCCTAATAAATAACTCTTCCCTGTCGCACCCCAAGGCCAGTTTTTAGGATGGGCCGGGCGTTTCGTCGGCGACTTCCTCACCGTTCATGACTACAAAGCAAACGAAAGTGACATCCGCTTCACGGATTGAGGGCGGGTGGTTGTTAAAACGTGGCTCTCGCCTTAGCGCCGCGCACATTCGCTCAAACAGTTTACAAGGATTTCACGGTTTGAAGGCGGGTGGTCTAAACATTTGCCAGTGCTCCACGGATTGAGGGCGGGTGGCTTTCAACATGTAGATTTCGCATTAACGCCGCGCACATTCATTCTAAACATTTGCAAGAGCTTCGCGGATTGAGGGCGGCTCCTTTTCAAAATGTGGCTCTCGCCTTAGCACCGCGCACATTCGTTTTAAACATTTGCAAGGATTTCACGGGTTCCCATGATCAACGTACCAGAATTATGTTTGGAAGGATTCCGGATTATGCGGGTGCAACAATTATGTTGCTCCGCGGTGTTGAAGTCCCGCAAATGGCGTTCTGGTACGATTCCGGATCGTGAAGACGCAGCAAGCAGTCTGGTTGATACGTGGCGTTGAACTCCCGAGAACCATGTTTTGGCATGCTTCAAAATCTTCAGACGGTTCTTGCAACGAGGTAGTTCCTCAATGGAAATGAACCGTTGTGGGGGCCTATGAAGAGGCAGTTTGGAGGGAGGGTTAATTCCAACATCGTATTCCTCCTCCTCCTCCTCCTCCTCCTCCTCCTCCTCCTCCTCCTCCTCCTCCCCCCGCTGGAAAACCGCCGAAAACCGACGAGAACTTCGGATCTCCACCCCCAGCGCCGCAGAGACCGCGGACCACCGAGTCCAGGGGCCCTCCGAGCTCGCGGTGCTGCTGTCCGTGGAGTCGGGGCTCTCGCTGCTCGCGCTGTGGGCCCGCAGCGTGACGACGGCGGCGTCCCAGAAGCGCTCCAGCTGCCTCCGCGGGAGCAGTCAGCATTAGATCGTGCATGTTCCCCCTACAGGGGTATTTGGGATTACAAATTTTAAGTTATGCAAGCATGCCCCAACATGGTCAGATACTACTCGAGAATGGTCGGGTGTTGCTAGAAGTGCCCCTGGCCCGATGTGCGCATGGGATTTCCAAGGCTGCCCCCCACGGCCTCCAGAGCACCCCCTCACGAGGCCGAGGGTCCCAGGGATTTCAGAATGGAGCGAAAAGCTGGGGGCACCTTGGGCCAGGGGTACTTCTAGCAACATCCGAGAGGAGCAGTCAGCCTCGAATGGGGAAACCTCGAGAAGCGCTCCAGCTACCTTCGCAGGAGCAGTCAGCATCGAGTAGGGCCTGTCCCCCAACTGGGGGATGTTGGACATTGCTTCCCCACGAAAAATATGTAGTTATTTATGCATGTATACATTCGTATATATATATGTATTATATATACACGTACACAAAAAAAACAATGTCCAACTAATACTAACACATCGTCCCAGCAGTGCTCCAGCTGCCTCCGCAGGAGCAGCTAGCATTAGGTCGGGCATGTCCCCCTACAGGCGGACTTTGGACGAACAAATAAAAATACATGAACAAAAAGACAGAACAAATGTTCGAACATAGTCAAAACATCGTCCCCTGACTATTTGTTGACTCTTTTTGAATATTCCCTCTTGCGAGGGACAGGCCCGACTTACAATTAGCATCGAATAGGGAAACCTCCAGAACACCGGCTCGGATCGGAGGCTGCGTCGGAGCGGCATGGAGCCGAAGCCGAATCGGATCGGCCGCACCAAGACGCACGACATCCCCGTTTGAGCGACGAAAAGAGCGTGTCTTACGTCAGGTGGCATAGCGACCTTGCTCGGTGACTTAAGCGGGCCGCCAACGCAGCACGCTACATTGGATACGAGAGCACTTACGCTCGATCTTACGCGGGAAATTGACGAGGCAATGTCGACGAAGACGAATCCGTTGTTCTGCATCGCTCATGTGAGCACTGGCTCGTATCTCATCGTAATCGAATCGGATCGAGCGTAAGCCCATGCCGAATCGTAGGAAACAGCTCCTGGGAGATCTTCGTAAAGAAACGATCAAGAACTACGAAGCCTGAGGCGAAGCGAAAACAAATTTCAAATGGGACAACGATAAACCGTGAATCTCTGAAATCCGGCGGTTCTAGAAGATGTATCGGGCGCCGCGGCCTTCTCAGAGCGTTCCGGAACGCTCTGAGAGCGTTCCCGAACGCCCTTAAACGGATTCATAATTTCCCCAGCCCCGCCCGAAATAAGCACAGGACTAAACTGGACTCAGCGGGATCATGCGGGATTCTGCCGATATTTGTGGGACCACGGTTCTACAATCTTCGAGTTGAATTAAACCTCGGCGGCGAACCTGGGGGGAAGTGAGCAGGAACGGGCTTTTTCAGAAGGCTCGACATCCCCCGGCCTTCTGAGAAGTTGTTTAAGCCTCCCCCCCGAAGACACAGAAAACAACTCAGAAGGCACGAGAGCTTCTCAGAAATGTTGACGCCTTCTGAGAAGTCCCCCCCTCGCTCGCCGCCGAAAACCTCCCAAGAGTTGCATCCTGACGAATCGGATCGGTCGGATCGAAACAGGCCCCGCCTCCGCCGTCTTCGCCGCTCTCCTCGCCCACGCAGCGCCCCAGCCGTGGTCAGCCGATGGGGCTCGCCGTCGTCGGCAAGCTGGAGGCCCTCCTCTGGGAAAAACGCCGGCTGCTCCTGAGGGTCACAAGCCCGGGGCACGCGGAAGAGCGTATCCAATGTTTTGCGGTCGACGAAGGCATCGGCGATCTCTCTGGAACAGGTGTCGAAGACGACGGCCCCCCCCAGGAGGAGGAGGAGGAGGATCTTACCCATTGTGGCCAGTCTGCAAATGGCATTATCCGCCGACCCTGTCGGCGTGGGTGAAAAGGCTTTTCCGTATTCGAGCCGGGTTTTTCCGTTGGAGTCGTCGTCTCCGTCCTCTGTTCCATTTGCCTGGGCCTTCCCTCTTCCTCATGCGCGCCGTCCAAGGCAAAAGTGAACAACATCGAAACGGAATCGAAGTGCAGCCCTTCCCCGCGCCGGGGAGGTTGGTCCCAGGGGGTCCCAGGGGGGTCCCTGGGGGGGTCCCCGGGGGGGGTCGCCACCCAAACCCGCCGATCCGGCGTGTGAGTTTGAAAGAGCCTTAGATGTAGCCTCAGCTTCAGCTTCTGCTCTGCTGGGGGGGTGGGTGCCGGGGTGGCTCTGCCGGGGTAGGGGGGTAGGGGGGGGGGGTAGGGGGGGGGAACCGCTGTGCTCCGATTTCCGGGGAAGGGGGGGGGTCGGGTCGTGGGAAACACAGCAGACTGCCACCCCAGATGCCAGAGAGCCCAAGATTGCTGCAAGATATTTCGAAGACGGCCCAAGATGTACCCAAGACGGCCCAAGATGGAGTCATGACGGCCCAAAAGGCCTTCAAGAGGCCTCTAAGACGGCCCAAGACGTCTCTAAGAGTTCCCAAGAGGCCCGAACAACGCCCAAAAGGCTTCCCAAGAGACCCCAAGAGCACTCCAACAGCACCCCCAAGAAGGGCTCATGAGGCCAACATCGTCTGTGTTCCGATAGTTGTTTGATGGATTTGACATGCTCGCCTTTTCAGGTTTCCGACGCTCCAAGACAGCCCCAAGAGGCCCCCAATATCGCACCAAGACGGCCAAGGAGGCTCCCAAGAGCGCCCCAAAACTGCACAAGGAGCCCCAAGGCTACTCAAAAGGGCCCCATGACGGCCAAAGAGGGCTCCAGGACTACCTTGGAGGCACCCAAGGCGCTCCGAGAGGGCCCCAAGACGGCCCCAACAGAAGCCCCAGAGAGGGAACCTTCGAGTCTTCCGGCGCAAGAGGCTCCCAAGAAAGCCCACGAGGCCTCTCAGAGGCCCCCCAGGAGGCCACAGGGGGATCCCAATAGGCCCCACTCCTCCTCCTCCCACCTCCTCTCTCCTCCTCCCGCTCCCTCCTCATCCCTCCTCCTCCTCCTCCTCTTCCTCCTCCTTCACCTCCTCCTGTTCCTCCTCCTCCTCCTCCTCCTCCTCCTCTTCCTCCTGGGCAGTCTTGGAAGCCTCTTGGGGGCTGCTTAGGCCGTCTTGGCCATCGTGAGGCAATCCCTCCCTCCGCCTCATCCTCCACCTCCCCTTCCACCAACCAGATCGCATCGGGAGCGCCCCCAGATCGGCGGCACTGGCCGGAGGCCACTAAAATATATGATCGCGGGATCAGGGCCCACGGGCCCCCCCCCCCCAGGATGGGATGGGTCCCAGGGTCCTCGGGCCCCCCCCCCCTCAGATGGGATGGGGGGGGAGGAGGAGGAGGAGGAGGAGGGGGAGGAGAGGAGGAGGAGGAGGGAGGAGGAGGAGGAGGAGGAGGAGGAGGAGGAGGAGGAGGAGAAGGAGGAGGAGGAGGACGACGACGACGGCGACGACGACGACGACGACGACGACGACGACGACGACGACGACGACGACGACGACGACGACGACGACGACGACGTCGACGGCACCACCAGCGGCGGCGGCGACGACGTCGAGCACCGGAGCTGTCAACATGACGCCAATCCCAGCCACACGCCGCACCCATTCCGCACCCTCAGGGGGGGAGGGAGGGGGGGAGGAGGACCATGGCGTCACCCCGCACACACCCACAGCAATACACCACACCCACACCACATCCACAGGGGGGAGGGGGAGCCACCACGCCACGCCCACGCCCACAGGGGGGGGGGGCATCGCGCGGGGGGGTGGGGGGGGCGATGGCATTAATGGCATTAGCATTGGGGGGGGGGGGCGGGGGGGCCCAAACCCTCGACCATATATTCCCCCGCGCCCCGGCCCCCGCTCCCTCCGGCCCTGGCCCCGGCCCCCGCTCCGGCCCCAGCCCTGTACCCGGACACGGCCCATCCCAGGGGGCCGCAGCCCCGGCCGTCCGCGTCGTCTGCATCGTTTGCTGGCGGCGACGACGTCATCGTCGTCGTTGCGTCGTCGCCGTCGGCGTTGCCGAGGAAAACCCCGGAATAAATTATGTTTCCTGCGGTGGGGGGGGATTCTGGACCCCCCGGAGAAGTTTCCCGGGAAGGGGGGATGGGGATGGGATTCTGGACCACCATCCACCCCCTCTGGTTTGCCCCCCTGCCAGCAGCGGCAGCAAGCAATCTTTCTGATATTCGCAAGCCCATGGCCTTCACATCCCTCTTTTCTTCCCTTTTTTCGGACGTCCGCTGGCACCGTCCTGCGCATGCTAGGTGATAGGCAAGCTAGGCACCTCCCTCTTGGACGCCCCCCAAAACACCACCGGCACCACCGTCCCCCCAGCCCTCTCCTTGAGCAGGGGCCCACCGTCCTGGCATTCCTATAGTCCTACCGCGAAATGCTCTTAGGACCCATGAATGTTCGAATAACGAAACAACGTTCTTAGTCCATAAACCCGACGTGTGAAAACAAGACAGACCTAACCGAAAATGTTCTAAGAACATTTCGTGGAAACCACAAAAGGTCCTTAGAACATTCTTTGGTAGGGCTATAGGCGAGCCAGGACGCTTCGCCACTGCTTGATCTCCTGGGGCGCGTTCTGGTCGGCGCGCCTTTCTCCCTGGAGCTTCCCGTCCAAACTCGGCACGTAACGAATGCCAGCGGACACCCCCAAGTCCACCCTGGCTGGCTTCTTGGGAACTGCGCGCAAATACGCGAAGAGATCTGGACCCTGCCCAGTGGGGCTTCGCAGAAGCGCCACAGGGACGACATATAGTGTATCATTTTGAGCCCAGTTCTCCAGGCGACGAGTGCCGAGCAAAACGTGTACACTGCGGTGAGGCCGCAGTTTGCCAGTAAATGGTGGGCAGACATGACATAATGTAGTGGACGCCTTTCTGGCCGCGATTTCCCACGAGGACCAGCAGCGGGCCTCCGGACGGCAGAACGCCTCAGGGAGAAGCACCGGCACTCGCACCTTTTCTTCAATCTGGGTGACCGCTGGCACGGCAGCCCAGCCAATGCGCTGCGTGGGTCCCCCCTCCCCGAACTGGCGGCAGGGCGCGCTGATGCGATGCAGTTGCAATGCCGAACTCCCTGCAGGCCCCCAGGGGCCCCCGAGGGCTTCCGCGCCAGAGCTTCGACCCTCTGTCAGTCTTTCCTCTGAGAATCGGGGTAAGATGGCAAAGGAATTAAGATCTCATGTTCACTCTGCTCAGGGAGAGAGGGGACGGGATGAGACATTGATGAGACAAGTATCCGCTAAGCAAGACTACTCTATCAGGAATGTGAAGGGAGGAGGTCGGCCGGGGACGGACGACGACGAGCCGCCCGCACGCCCAGCGCACTCCTTTTCTCTCCTGCAAGCCGAGGTCGGCTTGCTCGAGCAGTCATACAGCTGCGGAACGCAGCTGTCAGTTCCAGCGGGCAGTGCAATGCATGCAAACTAAGTTATGTCTTAATTGATTATGAGGCGGAGAGGAGCATATTTACCCCCCCCCGCGGCGGGCCGCGTAGAGCCCATCCAGCCGCGGCACCCCCGGCCTGTGCATTTGTACAACCACCGGAGCCAACCAGAAAAAGCTTTTACAGCTCGGGCCAAAGGCCGAAGAGGCTCGACGTTTCCCACCATTGTGATAAATAAATTCTCTCCGCTGGACCGGCTTAGCCGACCAGTAGAGGTGTCCGCGCCCAACGCGCGTTCCGCGTGTGGGTAAATTGTTTTGCGCGCGCCTGCCGCGGCTGAGTCGCGCGGGCGAAACTCAGTTCAGGTCCTTCCACGGATTGTGCTCGGTGCTCGATCTCTCGTTTGGGCGGCGCCGGAAGCGGCGGGTTTGAAGGCGCCGATCCTCCCGTCTGTACGTCTACGCCACGAGGCGTGCGAGACCGCCCTCTATATCTGTCAGTGTCGCTCATAGGTGCCGCCCCTCTCGGCGGGAAGTGGTGGTCATGCTCCCATTTTGATAGCTGGTGCCAGTAATTCAGAGTGCACCACTCCTCGTTGGTAAGCCACGTGGCCCTGTTACGGTGGATGTAGTACCCGACGAGGGTTCCGTTCACGTAGCGCGGGTAGGACCTGGAAGGGTCGCACTCGCAGCTGTGGCCTGCATCGCTGCTGGCAGCATCCGCGGCTGCACCTGCGGCAGCGTCAATGGCAGCGCCGGCAGCATCATCCGTGTCAGCGTTAGCGGCAGCATCCATGGCAGCATCGCGCGCGCGTTGGGATGTTGTGGGTTTGTCTCCCTGGTCGTCACGGCTGAGCCGGCGACTGAACGGGGGGATCCAGTAGCTTCTTCGGGTACCTGAGCGTCTGAGATGCCAGGTCGAAGAGGCGGCGGGCGCGACGAAGGTCTGGCCTTTGGTCCAGCGGGCGCATGTGGCCCCACGATTTCGGCTTCGCCATCGCGTTCAGGATCATTATTCCTACGATCGTTCATAATTTGTGTTATACTTCTGGCAGCAGTTGCTGCGGCGGCACCATATATTCCGCATGCAGTGCGGAAAGGTCCATCTTCTTTGTCCTGGAGTTCGGCACCAGGGTCAGGATACTTATCCTGTAGCCAAGAAATGGCGTCCTGTATTAGAGCACCGTGGCAACGGACGTCGTTTTGTGCTCTCCTGCCCATCTTGCGGGCCCACCTTTCTATAATGTCGTCTGTCTTAACATCCGCGCGAACGCGGCAGTCCAAGGCATATTCGTCGGTCCGTTTCTTTGAATCAATTTCACTCGTGCTCACCATTC